CAAATACAAAAAATGTCATAAGCTTATCTTCGTTATTTTGATGAAATTAAATATAAGCATTGAATGTTTTAATCTTTTCATTAATAGAATTCGCAGTTGCTGCTGCAGCAATGGATTCAGGGATAGGATATGTTGATCAAAATCAGGCTCAAATGGCTACACTTAGATCATATTTTCCTGAAACATGGTTATGGGAATTAGTACCTATCGGGTATGATTAAATTAGTTTTTAAAATCATAGTAAATAAACTAAAATATACTATTTTTAAATATATTTTTTCTTGATTCTACTATAATTTCTATAATTATTATTAACAACTATTATATGTTATTATTATTGATATATTAATTAATTTAATTCCTTGTTATCGATTATTTTGTAATGTATTAATTTTTTATTCTAACTACAATATATTTTTCAGAGAAGAAGGTAAAATTACAATAGAACGTACACTTCCACACACTATCACTGATTGGGTTGGTTACACAACATGTATTTCCCCGACACATGGACTTGGAATAGCACCACCAACTACTATAACAGCATTTCAATCATTTTTCCTCGATTATAATTTACCTTACAGTATAAAACGTGGCGAAATTATGCGTTTTAAAGTATCTCTTTTCAACTACATGCATCATAGCTTACCTGTAAGTATAGAAAACATGATTTTGAACATTAAAATATATTTTTCACGTAAAAAATTTTTATTCTTGGAGACAAACAAATTTCATATTTTTTTTTCTTTAAATTATATTCATTCTCCTAATATAAAAAAATTTCGAAATTTCATAATTCGCCTCATTTATGGGTGCATAGGTAAAAATCAAATTGGAAGAAATGGAGAAAATCGATTTGCATTTGTCAGAGCCTACAGCCTCGTTTTGTGTAAAACCACGAGATAATATTGTTCACGAATATATTCTGAAGCCACGAGTGATCGGAGAAGTTAATATAACGGTCACTGCTTTTGTGGACATTGATTATCCTGAACCATGCGGATCAGAGACTGTGATATTTACACAGTAATTAAAAAATAAATATCTTACATAATAAATAAAAATAATAAAAAATAAAAATTAACAAATAAATAACATATCTATTCATGTTTTAAGGGATGTAATCGTGAAACCGATTCTAATTCTACCTGAAGGTTTTCCTGTGGAAGAAACAAAATCAGCTTTGATTTGTCCTAAAGATTCTAGCGATGATTCTTCGTTCATGTGGGAATTAACGTTACCTAAGGATGCCGTACCAGACAGTGGAAGAGCATATTTAAATTTGATAGGAGATATTTTAGGTCCAGCTCTTGAAAATTTAGATAAACTTATAAAATTACCGAAAGGTTGTGGCGAACAAAATATGATATTGTTTGTTCCAAATAATCACGTGATTAAATATCTTGATGCGATGAGAATCAATAAACCTGATCTTCGAGCGAAAGCTATTAGAAACATGGAAAAAGGTATTGTGTTTCTGAATATTGAAATTGAATATTTTAAATATATTGGAATATATTTACCTGAAATATTTTAATAAAACCAAAAATGTTCTTATTATTTTATTTTTTTTATAATCATATTTAAACAACACTAATAGTTATCATATATTAAATTTAGGATATCAGAGAGAGCTAAAATATAGATTCATGGATGGTTCTTATTCCGCATTTGAAGAAGGTGAGAGCTCCATATGGTTGACTGCATTCGTATTAAAGTCATTTGCACAGGCTGCAAGTTTAATTCATATCGATAAGTACGTTCTTGAATCATCTGTTTCTTGGATCACGATGAATCAGTTGGAAGATGGTTGCTTTCCTGTAATAGGCACTGTTTTTCATAAATCGATGAAGGTTTGTGAAATACATCTGATTAGATATTTCGTCGATAAATTGAGAGCAATTTTATTTTAGGGCGGCCTCCAAGAACATGGCTCATCGTCAGCATTAACAGCATATATCTTAATTTCTTTGCTTGAATCTGGTATTCCTTTGTCACCATCTGTTGTTAATGATGGCCAAAAATGTTTAGAAAAGGGAATGAATAATGATGATTTATATACAACTGTTCTTACAACATATGTATTAGCATTATTGGAACATCCAAAAGCTAATTCTAGCATGAAATCTCTAATGAATCGTGCTACACGTTATAAAGTATGAATAAATAAATATACACAATATAATTTAAGAAAATAATAAATATAAGAATTAGCGAATAAAACTAGTAAGATTTAAAAAGTATAATAATAGTAAAATGTAAACTTAATTTTTTTTTATTTAAAATTTATAATTCAGAATATATTTTAAAAAAAATAAATGTATTTTCTAATATGAAAAAACATTTTACGTTATAGAATTTAATTTGGTGGGAGGATAAATCGAAGCCTTCAATTGGTTTAAGCATCGAAATGACTGCATACGTGATTCTTACTTTATTGAAATTAGGCGAAGAAAATTTAAGTGAAGCTTTGAAAGCTGTTCGTTGGATATCAAAACAAAGAAACTCTGAAGGTGGATTTACATCCACCCAAGATACAATTCTTGGATTAGAAGCCCTTACAAAGTACGCTATGATTGTACATTATAATAACATCACAGATTTATCTGTTCTCGTCACTGCATCTAAAGAAGTGGATGATGTTTACAAATTGCAAGATGAAAATCGTGTAATTCTTAAACAAATTCGTTTACCTATTCTACCAACTATAGTAGAAATTTTTGCTCAAGGTGAAGGATGTGTTTTAATACAGGTAAAATAAATATCTTTGCTTTTACCAAAAAATATAAGATATAGATTCTATTAACAATTCTATAAATAATAATTATATTTAATGATTATAATAATATTTTCATTTATATCATACAAATTATATATTCATTCTATTTTAATTTTAGAGTAATCTTAAATACAATGTTGCATCCAGTACTGGTTCAGATGCTTTTGATCTTTCAGCAGAAGTTCGTTCTGTTGGTTATGGAAACGAATGTTCATTACAAGAAATTACAATTTGTTCACGATATAAAATGGCAGATGAGGAAAGTAACATGGCTTTACTCGAAGTTGGTATAATAAGTGGCTATGTGCCTGATCGAGCAAGTCTACATTCGTTATTGGATCCATCTTCAAGTAATTTTTTTTTTTTTTGTTAAAAATAAAATTAATAAATACATGTAATGTAATAATTAAAATTATAAATTATAGAAGTTAAATTATTCGAAGAAGATCAAGATATTGTGACAATTTATTTCAACAAATTGACTGGCCAAAAAACTTGTATCTCATTTAGAATAATACAAGAATACTTTATCGATCATCTTAAACCAGCGAATATAAAACTTTACGATTATTATCAACAAGAGCTTACTGTGTCCACTGTAAGTTTTAATAATTTTTCTTTAATCTCAATCAAAATAAAAATATGTAATGATTGAATGTTTTCAGAATTACAAAATCCCTTCAATTTGTAGCAGTGCGGAGCCAGTAGATGAACAATTAACAACGCCAAATGAGATGATTATCATGAAGCAATTATCATTTGATGAAAGTCCAATGAATTCCTCTTTTGTTGTCAATAACGCCGAGCTAGCAATTCCTGATGGAATGGAAGGACCAATTCCAGTTTACGTGAAACTGAATACTTATGATTATAAAACAGAAGCAGCTACCACTACTAATGGATTGCCTGATTTAACGTCGACATTCGTAACAGAAGATCAAACTGTACCGACAACAGTACAGACAGAGGATGAAGAACCTATAAGGGTACATTAAAATCTTTTTTCATGATTCCAAAGAATTTGCAAATAAATGGACGCAAAAAAAATAAAAAAGTTTAAAGAAATAAAAACAACACTCGTCAAGCTATTGAAAGAGACAATTTCTTACAGATAGATACAGACAATCCCTCAATAACGAATCCTCTTATGAAAGAAGTCTTAAGAATAGTAAAAATATTAAAAATTAACGAGACGAATATTCCGTGTAAGTAAATATATTTTACAATCTACAACAATTACACGTACAATTATTGTTTCTCATATTATATGTTACTTTAGCGCCAACAAGAATAAACCAATCTTGTCCCATATGCATGGATGTATTACCGTCAAACATTAGCGATATTTATTGCTCGGCAAATAGCGCGGTTAAAGTAGCAATTAGGCGATTCCGTAAAGTGAGATTATTATTGGATTTGCATATATCCCGAGAAGTCAAACGTCTTCGTGCCATGATAGAATTCACTTTGAGCCCAAATTGCTCCTGTTCGCCATTAGATAATCGTACGTAAACATTCCATCATACTAAGACAGAAATACATATCGATAATTTAATTCATCATTGAATATATATATATAACACATACATTGTTTTTCAATATATTCACTATAAAAAAATATTTTTTTGTAGCTGGAAGTTTTGCATTAATTATAAATAAGAATAATGATTTTCTTACATCTGGGGATCAAAAGCAAACACTAAATGATTCTTTTTATATATATGGTTTACCGTTAGTAAGTGGTGTGCCGTGCAAATTGGCAGAAATACGAGCATCCTGTCTTAATGAGGATAACATTCAATGCACGTATGAAGATCCCCCTGCATATGGTTAAATTAAATTCATATCTATTTTAATGTTTAAATTGCGTAAAATCTTTAAGTAAATTTCGATTTCAAGAACGTAATATTTTGTTTTCTTTTTATTAATTTCGCGCAGGATATATACGTATATAATTATTTTTTTTTTTTATTTTTTTATATCTACAAGTATGTCAATTATATATTATAAACAAATATAATAATAAGCTACGTATAGTCTACGTAAAAATAATTATTAGATATATACCAGAAAATGAATGATTTTTTTTTTATTAAATTGAATAAAGTTTTTAATATGATAAATTAATAAGTTATATATATTCTCTCTCTCTCTTCTCTCTCTCTTCTCTCTCTTCTTTCCTCCATCCCATTATATTATATACATATATTAACATGTAAACAAACAAAAAAATATCGATTTATTTTTTATTATATTTTTATTTATTATCTTTGCATTTGATCTGCTACTGAAATAATTATTACAAATTAACAATCACCTCTCAAATTTTTACTACTATAAATATTATTTTATTACAGCAGATTTTATGGTTATCTATTTCATTATACGGCTTTTTTATTTATTATTTTACTAAGAATATTTGCCATTTAATGCTGATCGAAATGAAATTGATTTTTTTTATTTTTGCATAATTATAGAATATAATTGTTATAAAGCCATACTTTTATTTATTTTTTCTTCTTTTTTTATTATTTATATTACTTACTAAGTTCGTTTTCAGCATTAAATATCAAATCGTATTATCACTGAAAATGTATTAGCTATTTATTCACATTTGTAAAATATTTGCTCGAAATAAATAAAAACTATTTGCATTGTTCACTAAAGAAAAACTACCCGTTGCGACGCTTTACTAAAGTAAAATGCAAAACCTAACTTGTACAGGAATGAAAGGAACGACTTTTAATGTCTATAAATTGGCAGTAGCGTTTTCAGTTCAGTCGGCATCAGTTTCAAATAATTCAATTTTTAATTATATTCCATGAAATAGGTATTTTTTTTTCATTTGAGATTAATACATCACCGTCATTCATAATAAATAATATGATATATGTGATAGGTATTATAGAATTCTATTCGAAAATGATTAATTTAAAGAAAAAAGATGAATACAATTAATAATACTTTTGTTACATTGGGATCATAATTTCCATTTTTTTGTTAAATATGCATTAGGGGTACACATTCACCAAAATGTCATATTAATAAAGTAGTAATTTTTTCGCCGATCTGACATACACGTATATGTTTTTTAATATTTACCGATAACATTGCCCAGGTAGAACACAAGTACTGGGACGAAATGTTGACCCAATGTTTATAGAAATATTGATCGAACTGTCTGGCAGTAAATTTTCGAGCAAATAGTAAATGCATATATTTTAACAGTTCTTTTAATATCGTAAATATTGATATTATAAAACAGTATTGTACAATTACTTATCCTAATTCCAAAAAACACACAGACACAAAAATTTTGATATGTAGAATCAATATGCAAGAGACAGATATTGTATTGAAAAATATTCTAAATATAAATTTATTATAATGGATATGTTTCCAAGATGGAAACTAAGATTATAATATATAAAAAAAAAATTGATATAATCTAGAAGACTATACTAAGTTGATATAAAAACTTTCAAATGTAATAAAATCAATTAATGTTCTTGAAAAAAAAAAACAATAACATAATAATACTGTAAGTTAAACGATATAATTATTGTATATCGATATTGAATAAATATTATAGATAAAAATCTTGATAGAATAATCGGGCCAATATAAAAACTAATTCTAAGATTAAGTTCCACCTGGGCATTAATACTTATATACATTTACGTTCAATTTCATCAGACCAAAATAGTATTATATTGGTTGACAAATGTTTATTATTAGAACCTGTGTTCGATACTAAACACGATACTAAATAATATTAGAAATAATAATATTATGAAATAAAAACGATACTTGTACTTGTGCGCTTCATAAAGAAAAATGAAAGACACATAATATACATAAAATAATAATTACATATAAAATAATGATATATTAAGACATGAGCTCTATATTAAATTAATTATGCGGATTTTATATTTTTTTTTTTTAAATTAAAATATAAAGTATTTTATACCATTAAATTATTATTAATCAGTCAGTCAGGTTTTCTATAATGGCAAGCATCCGGCATTAATATCAAAAATCAATTCAAATTAAAAATCGAAGTTGAAATGATATATAAATATATTATTTTAACTTATGAATAAATTATTTAAATCTTATTGTTTTTAATTATCAAATACAAATATAATATAATCAAATTAACTTTATAATTAAACAGGTAAAAATCATTTTATCTTTGCGAATTAATAGAACAATACGCAAAATATTTAAATTAAAAAATAAAATTGGATTTAATATAGAGCCTGCCTAATTTAATAAAATTAATCATTATATTAACGAATTCATCTAAAAAATTTTCTTTGTTCTTTATTAAATTTGAATTATTCGGTATTAGAACACCGAAGTGCAAAAAAATCAGTCTAATTCATTATCAGTTATTGAATGTATCATAAAGGTACATATATACGATCACCAATGACAAGCGCCATTTTATTTGGCGTTATAAACGTATTATTGTTCAAACTTGATAATGCGTATTGTGAAATGTTCAACAATCGCAATTCAGATGCATCAAAGATAGCAAAGGAACTTGCATAAACATCAGTATTTAATAAATTTTAGGGGCTGAACGATCATTAATGGGACCACTGGTTTTTCTTAAAGAGGTACCTTTTCGTATCTGATCCATAAGAGAATCTCTTACTTGTAAAGGATCCATAATGGGTACACGATTACCCATTATGCGTCTCACGCTTGCAGATCTACTCGTTGTATTATTTCCTTGCAAATTTTGTTGTTGTTGGGCTAATTTAGCATTTAAAGTTTCAAGAAAGCCAGATGGTGTTTTAGAATTTTTACTTATTTGTTGTTCAATGGAGTGTTTTCTAGTAGATTTAGGACTACTATTTGTATTGTTACCACTTGTGGCATTATTACCTGCACTATTAATGAGTTTAGCACTAAGAACCGCCATAAAACTTTGGCCAACTCCTCCTGGACCTTGTCCTTGTATATTTACACCTGTATTGATAGCAGTTATTTGTGTGGTATTTGAACTACGTTCTTGAGAAGCTGAACGAATTGCTGCACATGAACGTTCAACAGAAGATCGAGTTACTTGCAATACTGCATTATGTGGTAATGTAGCAGACGAATTATTATGAGATTGTGCCTGTCCTGTAACCTTTCGTAAAAGAGATGGACTAGCAGGTGTATGACGTAACTCTGTAAGAGTTCTTACTGTTTCTGACACTGAGATAGATCTATAAATACAAAAATAGTAATAATAGAAATAAATATAATTTAAATATTTCATCAAAAAAAAAAAAAAAAAAAAAAAAAAATAAAAAGAATTATTTTTTACCGCTGAGGAGTAGGACTGGTTGTAGGTGAAGAACTTTCTAACAAAAATGCTGGCGGCGGAGGAAGATTTTCGGTTTCATCATACGTATTATCAGTGCGTTCATCATTAGAACCTGATGATGGATTATTGAATGTGGCAGTTATAATAGTAGATGTTCGTCTTGTTGGTGGCAAAGGTTTATTTGCTTGTTGCATCGAACCTCTTCGAACAGTTAAAGTAGACGCAACACCAGATACATTCCAAGCATTTTCACTTGGATTATGGAGCGAATGAGAATGCGGTATAGTAGTTTGACTTCCATATCCACTACTAGATTCAACACTAGATTCTGATGTCTGACTTCCACCATCTTTTTCCGTAATTTCAGTCTACAAATATTTTTATATAATTTAAATTATATAATTTTACATGTTTTTATTCATATATTATTGTTTTTACCTTTTCAATTCCTGATGCTGATAATGATGCAGGAGGTGGTGGTAAAGGTAATTGCATCTCTTGAGCACGACTTGCAGCTAAATTTGCTAATTCGTGCATATTTACATACATAGGTTGTTGAAGTTGATGAGTTGCTAATTCTATATTATATATCATTTAATATTAAATATCATTTAAAAATAAATGATTAATTAATAATTAATAAAGTATAATAGATTTATACCCTTTGCTAAATGTGCTGGAAGTGGTAATTTAGGTTTTCCTCGAGGACTTCCAGGAGGTTCATTTTTCACTGGAACTGTTGGTCGTTCTAAACTGGAACATCTATTCGGTATTGGAGGACGATGACTACCATTATTTCTACGCAATTGTACTCTAGATGCTTGTTGATTAGAGGAAGAACATGAAGAGGAAGATGAAACAGGAGAAGCAGGTTGACTATGACAACAACCACTATTATCTGGAGCTTGGAATGTGTAGACACTGAGTGCTGGTCTTTGATGGCCTTTTTCGTAAGCTATATAATAATTAATTTAATAGAATTTTTAAAATAATTAATAGAATTAATAAAATATTATAAATAACAACTAATATACAATATGATTCTCTTATTACTTTACTACAAAGTCAATATCATCGATGATGTATTCTCCTTTTTATGTATATAATAGTCATATTAATATTAATATTTTGAATTATAATGAATTATTATAAAATATAACATTGTTTTTGAATGATGTAGTAAGAAAACCATGCTGTATATATTCTTTAAACATAAATTTTAACTTATAAATAAATTTTATAAATTTTAAATAAAAAAAAAGATCTTACCAGACGAGATTGTATGCGGCCGTTCATTGATTGCGTTCTGATTTTGCCTGTCATATTGAACTGATGTTTCCTGTAAGTCAGGCCAAGTAGCAGTAGTTACAGGTCTTGTTGTAGTACAACCAGTATTTTGATTAGTTTGAGAAGACACATTTGATACCTGACAACATAATTTAACTTCAAAAATATAACAAAAATATATTTCTCAAAAAATGAATTCAAATTTTATTCAATACCATAGATAAAAGAAAAATATGAAATGCTAGCAAGCAACTAGTTTCTAACAACCTTACCTGATGTTCAGAAATTGGTTGTGTATATAATGTGTCCTGAGAAGTGAAGCCAGAGTCACGGGAACTACCGTTTACCAAGTGGCGTAGTGTCATCATACTGCTGATACTGGAGGGCCTGACTCCAACAGACTATAACGAGTACAATATCGACTACCACATACACTAAGCTGATGCCAAATGGCATTCGTGCTATCATCTATAAGCAACTACATGCTTGAAGTACGGTTAGTGCATAAACAGTAACTAATATACCATGCATTTCAAATTGACATTCTTAGTACAATGACTAAGCAAAACAAAAAGTAATTTAATTGAATTTTTTATTTAATTTTTTACCTGAGAGAGTGATCTATGCCAAGGATGTCCAGATGGACTTGGATGACTTTTACAAGAACCACTACTGCTACTAGTTAAAGAACTGATTGAACACATTGAACTTTTTCTTGATCCAAGTGATAAAGAAGGACTTGAAGGAGGAGTAGCAAGTGACCATTGTGTTACATCGCAACCTTTTATATCTGTTATCACTTGTTCTGATGCAGGAGGCAAATGATGAGGAGAAGCTGCATGACGTTGTAATTGATCAGAAACTTCTTGAAGATGTGTCAATTCCATTAGCATTGCAATTTCTTCATCCTGCATTTTTTTTATATATTATTAATAGTATTATTTTTTTAAATTAAATAATTAATTATTCATTAATTAACTTTACTAACTAGTACTGGTTTCAAAAATCTGGCAAGAAGACAGTATCTTCCTCTTTCTTCAAGTAAAGCTGCGCGAACGGCTTTTCTTTCTGTTTCTTCTAAACTTAATCGTTTTTCTTGAACAACAGCAGCTGAGGATTCTAACATTCGATTCAATTCAATATCTCCTGATGATGTTCCATATCCTTGTGATTGTCCTTGTAAATGTTGACCTTTTCGCGCTTTTTTCTTTTGCAAACGTAATGTATCAGTTGAACGCTTTCTTAATTCTGCTTTTGCTTTTTTATATTCTGAAAAAATAATAGAATGTTAAAGTAAATATTAAAATCACAAATTTTATAGTAAATATTGTTGAAATATTTTATAATGAATAAGCTATTACTAACCTTTGGCATGTTCTTTATCTAAATTTATTAAAGACTTTTTCCAATCTTCTAATTTTTCTTGAAGAGGTAATACCAAGCAATCCATAATAGCACTAATAAAAAGAAATAATTAAATTAAAATTAAAAATGTGATAGATAAATACTAAAAATTATTAAAGTTTTATTATGTATTAATGAAAAATTACCTAGTAAATGATTTCATTCGTGTTTCTACTGCTTTGTGTCTAAGACATATTCGAGTTAAAGCAGTTCCAATTTCTTTCGTTGCACCTTTTTTAATTACATTTATTTAATTTTATATTATTTTTAAATTATTATATATAAGTAATAAAATTAAAAAATAATATATTAAATTTGAAAATATTCCATAAAAAAATTTTTTCAAATAAAAAATAATTTATCAAATAAAATATTTGTTTGTAATTTAAAATATATGAAAAATAATATGTTTCACCTCTTGCATTAGTTGCAGCATCAGCAATTTTTTGAAAAGTTTCAAGATATGCAGAAATGGCTAAAATAGCAGCCCTAAAAAATAAAAATAAAAGAATAGTTAGAAATATTATATTCTAATTATAAATATATATAAATATATATAAATAAATATTCTAAATTAAAATAAAATATTTTGTACTTATGATATAATATTTATTTTACTTTCTATATATTTTAAAATAATTAATATTACTAAATAAAAATTAATTTTGAATTTAAATTTAAAAAATTAATAAATAATTGATAAAAATATTAGATTGTAAATAAAATATAAAATATAATTATTACCTTAAACATGAATGTAATTTGGTTGCTTTTGAAATTAAATCTTCCCATAAAGGTGCTCCATTCTAAAAACAAATGTTTATATTTATAATTTTTTTTTTAAAATTATCTTTATTTTTATAAATAATATAATTATTATTATTATCATAATTGTTTTTAATATTTTTATATTTAAAACTTAACATCTACGATATAAAAATAAAACAGAATTCATTATATAAAATATAAAATCAAATACAAAATCATATACGCTTACCTAATTTCTATGATTAGATAATTTTATGAATTAAAAGATCATTTAAAAAAAATAAAATATAATTGCATATACAATATATATTTATATAGATTTCTAATGAAATCAAATATTTTTCAAAAAATATCATGTTTATAAAATAAAAATTTGTGATATATGCTATCATCAATTATGCTAAATATTTATTAGTATATTTAAAGAAAAAATATACATTCTCTCTTGCAAATAATATCTTGCAAATATTAAAAAATATTTTAGAGTAATATTATAAAAGTGGAACAAATGTAAATTAGCTTTGGTTCTCATTTTATCACATTAAAATACCGCAATGATTTTAAATTTTAAAATATAATATTAAAAAATCAGAACAACGGAATTTAAAAAAAAAATATTATAAAAAGAAATAATAGAAGAAATATATTTTTTTCGATTATAATACTTAATGTGTATTAAGGACAATCACATCGACAACGCGCCTTGGCCTGCATCGTTACTTGTGCAAAGATAGTAAAATATACAAAAAAACAATGAACAGGAAAAAACGCGGTCGTGTAATAAAATAAATAATGAATATTAACATGTCGATATTACTTACTTTCATATCAGTTATAATCTGTTGAAAGAGGCCACCTAAAGCACTACACTCTCTCTCAATTGTTGCATCCATCTTTGACTATCCAATTTTTTTCCTTACTTGGCCCCAATAAAGTTCTTCCGCATTAGAATCGTAGAATAGTTCACTTTTTGTAATCCATATAAAAATATACAAAATTTCCATACGAATATCGGCGATTCATAAGATTCGCCATTTTCGTAACAAGAAACGACAAGTTTGAAGTAACAGAAAAACACAACTAAATGTATTTACCTATGCGTCTCATATATATATATATACACATATACATATATGTATGTATGTATATATATATATATATATATATATATATCACAATTGTTCTCGAATAAATTGATTCGGAAATCAACAATCACTGTAAATATTTCCTAGATATTTATAATGATTTGAAATCATAATATTAATTACTTTTGTCAAAGAAAATTGTAAACACTAGAGACTGTTTTCTCAACACGACGCACTCATTCTATTGAGCAAGTATGGCTCGCGTCTGCGTCGATTCTGTTTTCGTTGCAATACCAGAATATCGGTGCCCCCTACGGCGACCCCGTTTCAGAACTTCAAATTGAGGATTTGGGGTATATCTAATCGTTACTCAGGGTAACGGCTTTCTCTACCCCTTAGATGATCACTTCCGGAGTGTCGACTATTGAAAGAAGACATCTTGCATCATTGCTTGCTCATTCTGATTGGTTCAGAATAATTTTGAGGAAACATTTATCATATAGATATCGTGTTTTTAAATTGTGAAATTAAAAAGATTGATTTAAAAAAATACTCATAAAACATAAATGAAATAAAAAATAATTTAGAAAAAACAAAATTATGAGTCTTATGTTAAAATATAACGAATCATTTTATGATATATTATTTAAACATTTTGTAACATTGAGTGAAATTTCAAATATTTTTAAATTTATTGTTCTCATTGGATTTATCATTATCATTTCTTATATGCTTTATTATATAAATGGTTATTATATTGTATTTTGAAATTTAAAATTTATTTTAAATTGCATTTTATTAATTGCATAAGTAAAAATTTTATTAATTAAAATTTTATTAATATCATATTTATTTTTATATTTTTTAAAATTATATTATTCACAGTAATTTATTATATTTTAAATTTTAAATTACTTATTTTACAGATAATTATCATAAAAAATTTATAAATAAATCTAAATATGATGATTTAGAATTATATAAATTAAAGAATTATAATCGACTAATTACGCGAAATCAAAGTATAATCAGTCATAAAGAAATGTTAAATACTCTAGAATATGCAGCTGATGTAAATTAATTTCTACTAAATATCATATAATATTAATTCTATTATGAAATATTAAACATGTAAAATTTTACATAAAAAATATATTCTTAAAAATTATTACTTTTATATCAGTTATAATCTATTGAAAGAGGCCACCATTAATTCAATTTTCTTAACTTTATTTTATGATAATTATATTCAATGATTTATTCAATGATTTATTAAATTTATAAATTTTTTAGAATTGTTGTAAAACATTTTATGCATTAAAATGCATTGATATAATAGTATATTGTCCACAATTAATAAATGTAAAATGTTCATCCTCTGGTTTAACACCTTTTCATCGTATCTGTTTGCAAGGTCATAAATGTTTAATTGCTTTTATGTTAGCAAAAGGTATGCATAAAATAAAATAATAATATCATAATTATATCATATCATAATTGTATATTATATATATATTATAATAATTTATAATTATATAATAATTATATAATTTATAATTATATCATAATTATATTATATTTTTTACAATTATATTAAATAATTTATATTAATATATTAATATAATATAATATATATTAATCATAATACATAATATTTACAATAATAATAATTTTTATGTATTATGATAATTAATAAATATTATCATAATACATAAAAATTAAGAATTAAATATATTTTCTAAAATTATATAGGTGCTGATCCTTTTCTTACTACAATAAAAGGAGAAAATGCTTTGTGTATGGCTATTTATTATATTCTTAATAATCCAACAGAAAATGATTTTTCTTGTCTTGAAATGCTTGTAGAAACAGGTTAATCTTTATAAAGATTTAATTTTTTATTAATATCATATATATTTTTAATATAATATATTATCATAGGATGTGGATTTGGTTCTAAAGATAAATGGTACAATAATTTGTTAAAAATGGCATTTAATAATAACCATATACAATTAGTACAATGGTTAATTTTACATTATAATGTTTCTTCATATAAACTTTTGCGATGTTTATCTACACCACCAATGAAGAACCTATAAATTCTTAATATAAATGTTAATTAATAAACATTATTTTTATAAAATAAGTTATAATATAATTATAGTTATCATATAAATTAAATATAAGTAATAAAGTTAATTTTCATATTTGTGTTTAAAGAAAATTACTTATTATAATTTCTATTTATGAATTAATATTCTGTACAAATCTGTATCTGTATTCTGTATCTAATATACAAAAATAATAAATATTATTTATAATAAAATAAAATTGAATCAAAAAATTAAATAATTTAAAATTAATGTGAAAAATTAGAAATTAAATCTAATTATGTCGCAAACAATGAATACAACGTATATTTTATTAAAAAAAATTGTTATTTTTTAATATTTTTATACTTATATAGTTTATATATTTCAAATATAAGCCTGTATGAGATCTGATAGTAGACGATACTGAATTTTTATTTCAAAATAAACATAACCTAATAAATATTTTATGAAATATTCATTCATAATAATATATTGTTATGATAAATATAATACTAAATAGTAACACTGTAAATAATTATAGTGCAATATTGTGAATAATAATAATGCATAGTTAATGCATTATTACCTAATTATTAAAAATAGGATATTTTTCATGTAAAATTTTTTAATATTAATTTTTGAATTAACAAAAAAATATGTATATTATATAAACTTTAATTTTAATTTAATAATAAATTTTATTTGTATTATTTCTTATATATTATGTTTTTATTTAAAATAATTGAAATAAATTAAAATAAATTAAATAAATAAACAATTATTAAATTACTGACATTTATATATATATTACTGACTATATATATATATATATATATATATTCATAGAATCATGTTCATATTCATTGAAATGAATCATTAAGGCAAATCAACAATTCGTGAACATTGTTCGCAATATTTTGTCAATTTATTGTATTTACCGTTCACAAAAATGTCATATTACATAATATAATTTATGAACTGTTGCAAATTGTTCGTGAATATAAAGTTTTATTTGGTTAAAATAATCAAATCAAATGATATAATGTCGTTATTATGACAAATTGCAACTTGAACTATTAACTGATAAATTAGTGATTAACAACATTAACAATTTTATACTGTTGTAATTTATGTTAATGAATAACTAATTCCATAAATAAATTAATACATGAAAAATATCTTATTTTTAAATTTTAGAATTTAAAATTGTGAATTTAATTCTAGTTCCCTAAAGTTTTAATCATATGATTTTGTTTGTATTCGATAACTCGATTCAGTCATTAAGTTGCCAGTAAATAAGATAAAATAGTCAGGAATGACATAGAAAGTAGAAGAGTGGGAGAGCAATGTTATACGCAAATACTAAATATTTTATTGTGATGTAATTTTCATATGATTCTAAAAATAGTTTCTATTAAATATTTTAATACAGTAACGTGCAATGTTACTTTTTTAAACTCTTACGCTATTGCTGACCATTTTACTCCGCTTATTAAAAAAAGTTCAAGAATTGCAATTCTAATATTTATAAAAAATATCATCGTATGACATTATCTTTTTTATGCTTGAAGTAATTGTGCATATAATACACAACACGAGGATTAATATTTAAGATATTCTATTACATTAATTTTATTACATCATGGAAAAAACAGGTTTATTAGTTTTAACAAATCCTGCGAGAATAACACAATTATTACCAATTATCAAGAAACATGTATCAGAAACTTTATATATTCAATATTTGCCGTGCAAGAATATTTTTAGTGAAATATTGCATATAGATTATACATGGGGAATAAATCGTTTCGCTCAAGCAATTTCCAATATTTATATGTATACATCTTCTATATCTGATCAACTTGATATTCGTGTGTTACTTACAAGTATAAAAGAACGTCATATACGATTACATACTAAGAAACATGTGGAAATAGTTATTTTTGATCAAAATTGTAGCAAAAGTCAAGCTGATAAATTCATCGAAAGATATTTATTTTCCAGTTTTATTACTTGTGTTATTCCTACTGATGATTTGGAATTAGAAAAAACTAAAAAATATCCATTACATTTTCATGGATTATATTTTGATGTTAATGAAAAAAAAAATGATAAAAATGATGTTAATGAAAAAAAAAATGATAAAAAAACTTATAAGAATGTAGTACTTGGTGGTACATTTGATCGAATACATAATGGTCATAAAATATTTTTAAGTGAAGCTTTATTACGTTGTACAGAAAAACTTACAATTGGTGTAACTGATCAATCTATGTTATCTGGTAAGAGACTTTAATTATAAATTATTATAAATATATATAATTTATATATTAATAAGTTATTATAGAATTTTATGCATAAAATAAATTCTATTGATAATATTCATAGAATAATTTTTAAATATATATTTTAATTAATTTGGATAATTGAATTTATAGAAAAATTATTATGGGAATTGATAGAACCTTGCTCTTTAAGAATGTTTAATTTGGAAGAATTTTTAAAAGATATAGATAGTACTATAAAATATGAAATTGTATGTATAAATGATATGTATGGTCCAACTAAATATGATTCAACATTTGAAATGATAGTAGTTAGTGAAGAAACAAAAAATGGTGCAGATAAAATAAATGAATTAAGAATAAAAAAAAACTTAAACAAATTAGATATTCATGTTATAAAAATTATAACTGATGAGCATCATAAAGAACATGAAGAAAACAAAATCAGTTCTAGTAATCAAAGAATACGATTATTAGGAACAAAACTTTATGCTCCTGTATGTATTATACTAATTTTATTATACAAATGATTTATATTAATAAAATACATAATATTTCAGCGAATTGAAAATAAACCTTTGAAACCTTACATTATTGGTTTGACTGGTGGTATAGCAAGTGGGAAATCATCAGTAGCTGAGAAATTAAAAAAATTAGGTGCTGCACTTGTTAATTGTGATAAAATAGCACATGATTTATATTTACCTGGTAATAAGTGTTTTGATGAAATTGTTAATAATTTTGATTCTAATATTTTAAAATCTGATGGATTTATTGACAGAAAAGTACTTGGACATATAGTATTTAATGATAAAGTAGGTTTCTATTTTTTTATATTATTAGTAATATTTACTATTATTTTTAAAATTATATTTAAAAATATAAATTTATTTATAGAAACAATTAAATAAATTAAATGAAATTCTTTGGCCCATGATTTTAGAAGAAGCAAAAAAACAGATAAATGACTTTAATACAAAAGGATTTGATATAATTGTAATGGAAGCTGCTGTTTTAATTCAAGCAAAATGGCAACACGAATGTCATGAAATCTGGACTTGCATTATTCCACAAAAAGAAGTGAACTTTTAATGGATTAAAATTATTAATATTTTATATTGGAATATTTTTAATTAATCAAATTTAAAATTTTTTTAATTTATAGGCTATACAACGAATAATGGAAAGAAATACATTAACAGAAACTGATGCAAAATTAAGAGTTCAAGCTCAATTAAATAATAAAGATCAAGTTGATGAAGCTAATGTTGTAATATGCACTTTATGGAGTCATGAAATTACTGAAGGACAAGTGCAAAAAGCTTGGAATGAAACAATGGCATTTTTAAATGATCAAGAAAAAAATTGAATTTTAATATTACAAAATTATAGTTAAAATTGTTAAAGTTTTATAGATTATTTTATATTATATATTATTATGTTATATTTTATATATTATTATTTTTATAGATATTTATAGAAATATTGTTTATTATTTTAATAAGTTGTATACAAATTATATAATATATTTATTATATTTGAGAAAATTTTAATAGTTTTTTGTATTAAAGTGATTAATATGCATTTAATTAAATTTAATTAAATATGCATTAATATGCATTAATATGCATTTAATCAAATATTTTTGTAAAGAAAATAAAATTGTTGATTCATTTACAGGTATGTAACATAATATGTATAATTGTAAATTTTCTCATAAAGTACATAATAATTATATAATAGTTATACATTTATTATAATATAATTGTATCTTTTCTTTCTGTTGCAATTTAAAATTATAATATTTAATATTATAATTATAATTAATTATAATTTATAATATAATATTTAATGTTATTAGCAATTATAAATAATTTTATACTATTTTAAATATTAAGCTAAATTTTCAAACATCATCAAAATGATACTGACATCCTAATTTTCAATATTTCTTGAGATTAATGCAATTTATTACAATTTTATATACATAATTGTATAAAATATCTTTTCTTTAATAATTTTCTTTACCATTTATAAAAAAAAAGATTACAAATATAGTTACCATTTTTTTTTTACAAGTTTTTCATTTTTCCATGTAAAAAATGAAAAATAATAGAAATGTACAAAATGATAGCACACTTATGAAAAAACAAATCAATGTTTTATTGTTTGAGGATAGAAAGATTTTTTATATATACTTATCATATGTTCAATTTGAATTTAGTTACAAAAATTGTCTATCATATTAGATTTAAAAGATAAAGATAAAAAATATTAATTTTTGTTATATTTCAAAAAATAATAATTTTTTATTTTTATCAATTTTATACTACTATTTTTTTTCTAGCAAAATTAATTTTGATTTATTAGAATTTTTTTTATCAATATATACTATTTAGAAATTATTTCATTTTTAATACAAATAAAAATTTATTAAAAAATATTTTGCTCTGATGTTTGATATTTATATATTTATATAATATCTTTTTACAAAATATTTATATCTTTTTGATTTTTATAATTATGTATTTTGTTAAGTATTGTACTTATGAATGATGAAAAATCAGCTTTTAATTTACTTGCACCATTTTCGATATTGCATTTAACATGAGATATTTTCATAAATGTTGAAGCTATGTAAATTAAATAAAAATATATAAAATAATAAATGTTTTATTATAATTATTAATATTATATTAATATAAGTACTCACAAATAATTTTTGAAACCTCAGGATTTTTGTTCTCAGGGTCGTAACAAAAAATTACACATCTGTCTGGATCTAATTTAGTTTGATCAATAAAATAATCATATAATTGTTGAATTTCTTTTAAACATTCATTTGATTGTTCACTATAAATCAACATAACGCCATGTACATCCTTTCTTATAGCTGGCCAACAATATTCATATCTAAAATATATTCATATATTTTGTTATAACTTATAATTTTGAATAAATAAAATATTTATATATACTTATGATCTCCACTACAATCCCATAATTCAATATCTTTTGTGATATGACTGTTATTCACATTTATATTTTGCACTTCAAATTCTAGTATTCGTACTCCTTTAGTTGGATAATAATCATAGGGTATTTCTGTAGCATCCGCAAGAAAATTAGATATTGTTGTTTTACCACTCTAAAAGATATTTTTTAAACAATTGAAATTTTAGGATTAACGCAATTTGTATTTATATGTATATTATATATATATTAATTACAAGTTTTATATAATTATTTTTACTGTACATATAATGAGTACAATAAAAAGTAAATTAAATTTTTACATAACAAAAAATGGATTATTATTTATAAAGTATAGAATTAAAATATTACCCTAAGAGATCCAATAACTATTATTTTTAGTGATTGCATATTTTATATATATTTTAGTTTGATACAAGTAGTTTTTTCCTGTATTGAATGTTTGGAAAATTGTCGCTATAACAACCATTTATATCTATATACAGTAGTGTCTGTTTTAGCATTTATTGTTATCTCTGACTGATTTTTGGAAAATTGAACTTTGGCTTATGAGTTTCAATACTGAATAAATTGCTAATTTGACATTGATCTGATTCATATTATTCAATTTAAATCGAAATTCTGTAATTTATTTGAACTTATAAAAAAAACTTTATAAACTTCTATAAATTTAATTTGGACAAAGTTGAGTGAATGCTAAAATGGACATTATTGTATCTTACAGATTTAGCCTTTTAATAATAAATCAATATAAAAGGTCAATAAACATAAAAATACATATTTCATTGAAAATAAAAAAACTTATATTTTAGAATATAGTTAATTATTGATAAGCATAAAATTTATTTGTATATGTCCATTTATTATGATACATAAACATTTTAGTTTGAACACGATACAAGTGAAACATTAGATATAAAATAATAGATTATATACTATATATATATACTATATAAAGTATAATTTCTTAAAGAAAGCAGTTTTCTCTTTTTTGGAAAAATGCAATTTCAATTACGTATTCATTAATTAATAATGTATTTACAACTACTTTTACATTATTATCATCTGTACTATTTTAGGTAAATAGAATTCGATGATAAATAAACTATTAATATTAATATATAATGAAATAATTATACAATAAAAAAAAGTGAAAATTAAAATGTGATAATCAATATTAAAATATTAATTTCTGTAAATACAAATTAAATATCTATATAATCAATAAATTTGATAATCATTTTTACATAATCATTTGATAAGATTATATTTATTATTTATATTATTTCCTGCTGATAAAAGAAATATATTGATTATTTTGATTTATTTATAATATATTTATTATATTATTTATTACTTATATTATAATGCAAAATTATAAAAAAAAATATTTCCATAAATCTTTTATACTGATATGATATTCTAGACTGATGTATGATATTTGCAATTATTAAATTTCTTGAATTTTTTTTTTAATATGCAATAATTCATATAATATATGAATAAAAATTTTCATTGTAAAATAAGTAACACTATGATATAGTATCACAATTTACATATTATAAAAATTAATATTATTTTTTAAACCATTGGTTGATCTTGGATTATTGGCGTGGTTTCATCTGGATAGTTTAAACCATATAAAGCAAAAAGTGCAGATTTTGCTGCTATTTTCTTCGCATCTTTCTTGTTTTTTGCTGTAATATATATCCATACATTTTTTATATAAAAAAAAAAAAAAAAAAAAAATAAAATAAAATAAAAAAAAATAAAAAAATAAAATAAAAAAAACAAAAAAACAAAAATAAAATAAAAAATTATGTATGTTATATATATAATTTTCAAAATGTTATAAATATTAAATATGAATTATAAATTAATCTTTATTACTAATAATTTACTTTAATGTACAAATATCTTTTTGTACAGAATAAACATATAAATATTTAAAGTAAAAAACGAATCAAACTACATATACAAAATATATATATTACATTACCTGTTCCCGTATATTCAATCCCATCAATATCAACAGCAAGAGTAAACATTGTGTTAGGTGGATTGCCAACACGATTGAGTTCTACATATGTTAAACCAGGTCTCATTTGATTTAATAACATAACAGGATGTATGTTTGTTGCATTGGGCGGAAGTTCTTTTTGAACTGGAGTTTTTTGGACATGAGAAATCTCTCGTTTGCTTCCTTTAACAGGTGATGGTAATCCTGGTCTTGGAACTGGAACTGATGTTCCTTGATTATGCCATTCAAGGAAAAGTTTATACAATGCAAAGCTAGCTAAAGAACTCCATGGAATTTCATCACTTTCATCAACACTAGTATCCATTGGTGTTCCACTTTCTTCATTATTATCTTCTTTTGATGTATTAGATGATTCTATAGCTTGATTTATTTGCCCATCTGATTCAGCATCCATACGTGCTTTCATAGTTGCAGCTGTCATTTTTTCAAGTAATAAAGCCTTCAATGCATTTTCAGCAGCGTTCTGACGAGCAAGTGGCTTAGATAATCCTTGTCCAACATAGGTTTTACCATCAAGCTGTTTTATTTTTAAAAAAATTATTTTATAATTTTGTCATTCAAAAAATTCAAAAAATTTATAAATATATTAAATTATTTTAAATACCTCTGCATGAACAAGATATAGAGAATTTGGCATAGGTCCTTGAGTTTCAGGAAATGTAAATTGCACTCCAGGTTTCATTTCATTTAATACCATAATTGCATTTTTTGGTTGCAATGTTTTTCTTAGACGTTGATTTAAACGAAGTCGTTTTAGTCTTTTATTTACCCTAACTAAAGGTATAAATTTTAATTAATTTATTAAGTAATAATATAATTTATTAATTTTTTTTCAATATTTATATCAGTATATTAATATTCACAATGATTATTAATATTCCACAATTCAACAATAAGTTACTGGAGCAAATAGTAATAATTCTAATCTTCAAATTTGCGCAGTGAATTATCATCATTATTTCAATAATAATTATATTTTGTAAATATTTCTTTCATTTTTTAAATTATTTATATAATTATTTTTTTTCAAAACAAATTTTTGAATTAATTTAAAAAATTGAATTTAAATTTATTATATACTTATTGATTATTTTAAACACTTACATCCAGGTGCCTTACGCCTCCATCTTGGATGTTGTTCTTGTATTTCCATATCTGTATTTTCAGGCACTTGATTTTCATTTTTTACTTCACATATATTACTTGGCAGTGTAGGATTAGAATTAGTTGTTAAAGGAGATGTTGGAGTGGAAACTAATGATTGAGATGATGAAATAGGATTATTTTGTGCAATTGCTGCAGTTTGTTGTTGAGAAGGTTGTTTTAAAATTGGTTTTAATCGTTGAGGTTGAGACTGAGATTGAGATTGTGATTGAGGCTGTGATTGAGATTGAGATTGAGATTGAGATTGTGATTGGGATTGAGATTGAGGTTGTGGCTGAGATTGAGATTGAGAAGAATTTGTAATTGATTGTTGAGGTTGTTTAATTTGTGATTGTGGCAATTGTTGCTGTGGTTGAGATTTCCCTTGTTGCAAATTCCTTAATGTTGCTGGTTGCACCTGTGTCTGTTGAGGTTTCCCTTGTTGTAAGTTCCTTGCTGCTACTTGTTGTATTTGTGGTTGTTGCTGCTGTTGCTGCGGTTTAAATGATTGTGAATTTTGTGCACTTCCTTGTTTGTAATTATTTTGCTGATTTGGAGAAGATTGTGTTCCTTGAAAACTGCCTTGCTGATTGTACTGCAAAACATAGGGTGGGTCGCCGCTACACAAGGAACCTGTACGGTTGTGCTATCCCACCAAGGTCTAGCATCGCATATGCATTTGAAAGCAGTCTAATGCTACCCTCATAATTCATACCAACCAAATTTCTTCTATGGCCAATATTTCTTTATATATAACTGAACTGTGTTTATATATAACAAAGAAAAAAATTGTATAACATATAAAAAAAAAAAAAAAAATAAATAAATAAAGATTTTTAAATTTAACACTCTTATTCTTTCTATAGTAGTTTTATTGCTATATATAAAATTATGAAATAAAATATCATTTTCAGCAGAAGTATTTTATGTATATTTTATAATTTTTATACATAAAATTAAAATAAATTCTATTGCAATTATAGATTTATAATTCTGTCCTTTAAGAAATCTTTAATTATTGAAATATTTATATTTTCATTTGTTATGTAAAATTTTTATCATAGTAAAATAATTTAAGAATGAAAAAAAAATTAATATGTATTTTATAAATTAATATTAATTTATAACATAATATATCAAAGCAATTTACAATTTATGAAAAACAAATACTTAAACTAATTATTTAATTAAAATTTAACAAATAATAATATTAGAAAAATATAAAACTGAATATAATTTTTTCTAAATTAAACATTAATATTTGAAAAAATATGATATATATATATATATATATATATATATATATATATCATATAACATATATATATCATATAACATATATATATATATATATTATACAAATTAATGAATTTATTATAAAGTATGTATTCATTAAAAATGATAATTATTTCTACATTATTTAAACATCAGTTCAGTATGTTATTAAAAATATGGCCTATGGAGGCTATGCTATGTGGGTAACTGACGAACTAGTCCCTGGCTGAATAGACCTCCTCGGTATTGTTGTATAGCTACTATTTCCTGCATTGCAGGGGAGGGGAAAGTAGGGACCACTAATTAGTACATGCAAATGGATGGAATATTGGAAACAACAAATGGAAGAACATTATAATTGTGATGAATCTAAAATATTTCTAATGCTTTCTCTTTTTTTTGAAACAAAACTAAATATGTTTCATAATATTTTTCAATATAAAATGTAATATTCAAGAGATAAATAAGATTTTTAATTTATAAATATTTTACAATTATAGAAAATATTTTGAATAATTAATTTTATAACATGTATGTTTTATTATTATATATTTCATTAAAAAATACTTAAAGATGAATGATTCATTTAAATTAACTAACTTTATTTTTATTCTATTATTTATTTACTTTTATTCATATTATTATTTAGATTATAAGATTTCATTCAAAAAATAATTAAGAAAAACAGTAAAGTATTAAATACTTTGATTATCAGAAAAATGTATGATTAATAATTTTGTAATATATATATTTATATACATATATGTATTTTATACATATAAGTATTTTGTAATAAAATTTCTGATACATATACAAAATGATATTATTACATACCTATAACTATATAATATATATCTTTATATTCTTAAAACTAATTTATATGTTGGTACATGAATTAAAGTATTATATAATAATATAAAATATTGTATTATAATAATATAAATTCAAACAATAAAATTATGTTATTTTCATATTATTTTCATATTATTTTAAATTATGATATAAATTATTTAAATATATTAAACTATATTATACACAAAAAACTATTTATTCCTTAAATATCAAGTTACAAATATAAATTTATCAAAATATTTTGATAAATTTATATATATTTTATATATAATTTACATTACACAAGATTATCAATCAGCCATAATAAATATATAATAAGCATAAAAAATAAATATACATATATAAAATATTAAATTCAAAAAATACTTTCTCTATAAGTGTTTAAATAATATAGAAAATTAAAAAAAAAATCAAAACAAACACAAAAATTAAATTCAAAAGTTTTCTGAAGCATTTTTTAAATTTATAATAAATTTAATTATATTAGATAAAATGAGATAAAAATAAAACATGATAGAGAAAGAGATATATTTACTTTATATTATTATCTCACTTTATCTAGTGCAAAATTAAATTGTTTATAGTTTGAAAAAAGAAATTTTAATGAATATTTTCTAAAATATTAACTTATATTTATTTTAATCTTTAAAATCACTCTTTAAATTTTCTATTTATTTCATTTAAACATTGAATATGTATATTATCAAATGTAAATGTATCTTATTGCAAAAATATGAAAAGCAGAATTTTGTTTAAAAATAATATAAATTATTTCAATCTATTTTTAAAATTTCAAATATTAATACTTTACATTATAATTACATATCTTTCATATATATATATATATATATATTTTGTATATATTTAATATATTTATATATATTTAGTATATATATATATATATATATATATACTAAATATATAAACTAAATATAAAAAATTTATATTATCTTTAATATATCTATTAAAACAAATAATTAGAAAAAATAAAATAATTTTATTTTTGAACCATTCAAATTTTCATAAATGAATATTTTTAAATTCATTTTTTAAAATATATTATTTTTAATGTTTTATTATATGATGTATGTTTTATTTGTAAATTACAGAATTATTGAAAATAATTTTATAAATTTATTTGGTTAAAATAATATATATGTTATTATTTATTTACTATGATTATATAATGTAATTATTAAAGTACAATATATTTTTACACATTTTCATTTAAATAATTTTCTTAATGATTTTTGAAAGATATATGCATTTCTTATAATTATTAAAAAAAAATTATGTTGTTAAATTATAAGTAAAATAGCATAAAAAATAAGAAACTTACAGTGCTTTGACCTTGATATCCCACATTTGAACTATTTTGGTTTCTCACTGTAAATATAATTAAGAAAATTATTAATATTAATTATTAAAATAAGTTATAATAAAATTAATATATTTATAATTCTAAAATTATTTATATTTAAATTGACGTAAGAAATAAAAATATATATATATACATATACATACATACATCATACATATATATATACACATATATTTCTAAATAATATATATATATTAAAAAATTATTTTTATCATTAAAAAAGTATAATATAAATATAATTATGCCAAAATATCTATTTTAGGACGCCATTCTCTATAAAGCCGGTATATAGATATCGATTTTTTTTATTAAAACTATTTACATTTTTGAGTATTAAAAATATGAAATATATATCAACATATTTATTATCTTAGAATGTAAATATAAAATACATATGTGTTCGAAATAATTTGATTTTTCTTTTAAAATTATTTAAAATAACTTACTATTGGCATAGCCTTGACTCTGTCTGCTTCTTGTATACATGCTGAAGTTTCTTTAAGTTAAATTATTTCAGATATAATCAAGTTTAGAACATATAAATATTTTTTTACATTTCATTTAATTTTTAAATATAAAGTAAAATTAATTTATATAAAACACCTATAAGTATTATTACTTCCAACTTATAAATTGGAAACAACTTTCTATCTCGTTACATAGAAGTAGGAAATGACGTTTTTGCTGTTGTCGGAAATGGCATGTCTGCCATATTGACTATTAAGCGCATGCTTTAATAACGACAATTTCATAAATTTAATTAGAACATATTCTTTTGCACTATTATTTATTTTTTTCATAATTTTTTAAAATTAAGTAATAAAATTTTTTATTATATATTGTTGAAAAAAATAAATTTTTACATAATTATTTTTTCTATAAATTTAAATAAGTATTATTTGCATTTTAGAACGTACAGGAAGTTCTATTTTATATTTTATAGTTTTTTCTATAAAATTTTATTAGTATATTCTATGAATAAAAATAAGATAAAAATATTATATGAATATATATTCATAAATATTTGTCACAAAATTATAATAGAAATATGAAATAATTGAATCTTTTATTTATCATGGAAATATTGACAAAATTTATAGAAAAAAATTGTAGAAAACTGAAACGTCTATATAATAAAAATAAATGAAAAAAATTTTATATGGTATTAAAAATATGTTATTATATTAATTTCATTTTTTTGATTTATAATTTTTATCAATACTTTTATGTTGAATGTAAGTAAAATATTAAAAAAAAATCTTTTATTTGCTAATTGTTAAAATTATTAATATTAATTATTAATTACAAAATACATTAGAATTTTTCAATAAAAATTTTTTAATTAGTTTTACAAACAATAGTTTATGTAAATTCATATTATGCAATAAAGAAACATAAAATTTATAAATTTAGAGGATTTAAAATTAAAAAAAAAAAAAAATATATATATATATATATACATCATTAGTTATTTAATTATACCAATAATATATTGTAACATATTTTACAAGATTTAACTTTTTACTATTCAGAAAAATTGTATTATAAAATGTTATAAATTCAAAGTAATCCTTCCATTTCTTGCATAAATTGCATATATGCATCATCTTTTGTTTTAGGTTGAGTAGTTCGTACTGGCTGTGTTTCTGGTATCCTTTCTGAAAGTCTTGACAGAGTACTTGGTTTTTTCTTATCATCTCTTTTCACACGAAGCGAGGTAGGTAAAAATCTTGTAACATCAGCTGCTAAATTTCTAATTTGTGGTTTTGCTTCAATAGTTGTAGTACATTTACCATCTTTATCTTTTCTATTAATTAATTGTGGTGCAGCAGAAAGTACATTAGGTGTTTTAGGTTGTGATCCTGTTCCAGATTGTGTCTGCAATTGGGGATTTCCTATGTTTGTCATATTTGATAAATTTGGCATTTGCATTTGTGGAGGAGGCATTCTAGGCATACTTGGTGGACCAGGTCTTAACATTCTTGGCATTCCTGGTGGTGGACCTATAAATAATTAAATTTTAACTAATATTTTAATATTTTATATTATACTTTATCATTTTATTTTCTTTTTTTTGTAATACCATTTTTATTTTTAATAATAAATATTTAAAGAAAAGATTTTTAAAGATATTTATATTATTTTAATAATTTTCATATACAATATAACTATATTATATATTATATTATATAAAAAATATTATATATTATATAATATTATAAAATATATTATATAAAAAATATATTATATTATATAAAACTGATAATGATAATAAATATTTTGATAAATTATTAAATAATATAATTTATTCTTACCAGGAGGTAAACGAAGTCCAATACGAGGAGGAGGTGGTGGAGGCATTCTTAAATGTAATGGTGGTGGTGGAGGTCTATACATTAAAGGAGGAGGTGGTAATCCCATAGGAGGCATTGTATGTGGTTGTGTATGCTGAGAATGAGAATGTGATGTATGTTGATTATGGTTTGATGAATGATCTGATGCTCCTGGTGGTTCTAGATCTTCTTCTTCTGTTTTATTATTAACAGATTTGTTATTAGATTTTGAATTAGATTCATTTTCTGCTTCAAGTAACGATAATCGAGCATTTAAATCTTGGGCTCGTTCGGTTTCTCGTTTTTTATGAACAACTTCCATTTCACGCATAAATTGGTCAATATCTTGTCCTGCCATGGCTAACATTTTCTGTTGTAAAGTAGTTGGTTTTACTTTAGATATGTCTCTTTCTTTTTCTTTTTCTTTATCAGCATCTTTATCTTTATTTTCTGATTCTTGTTTATCTTCTTTGTCATCCGCAAATCGAATTGTTCTTGATTTTGGTGCTGATTCTTTAGACTATGTATAATTATATGATTACTTAATAATGAGTATATATAATAAATACTATAATAAACATATTAATTGATTTTGAGTAAATTTAAATACCTTTTCAGATGTATCTTCATCATCACTTGATAAATCAGGGGGAGGAAAAGGTGGAACACCAGGTGGTTCCTTATTAGGTGCTAATGTTGCTATAGAAGAAGATGTTGCATATGCACTTGTTTTTTTTAAAATGCTTGGTGGAATTGGTATGTTCATAAGAGGATGATGTTGTGGTATGTAATGTGGATGAGGAGGATACATATGTGCTGGTGGTTGTGGCATATCTGGTAAAGGTATTTGGGAAGTTAAGGAACCTGAAAACATACTTTATATGCAATATTCAAAATTTTACATTCTAAATATCATAAATATTATTAAATACCTGAATACATTCGAGATATATCATTACCAGCTGATGGTAATGGAATTTCATCAACTTGTACTTGTTGTGCATGTCTTACAGCTTCAAAATAAGAAACTAAATCTATTCTTCTACGTTCATATTGAATTAATTGTTCTTTTAATTCAGCCCATTTTTCTTGATCATCTTTTGCCTACAAAGAAACAAAAGTAAAAATGATATACATATTTTATAATATATAAATTATCAATATTGATTTCATCTTACCAATAATTTTTGTAGCAAATATATAGCTATTATATAGGAAGTACTTACATACATTTTTAAGACACGGTCTAAAGTCTCCTTTAATTTCTTCCGTTTATCTTTCAATACTTTCTCATTAAGAGGTGGTGGTTGCATAACATTATATTCTAAAAATTATTTAAAATTTTAATTTTTTTTATATACATATGTATATATTATATAATTAATAATAATTAATATTTTTAGATTTATAAAATATTAAATATTTTGCTAACCCATTTGATCTATTTTTTCCATTTCTTCAATAATTTGAGCAGGATCTTTGCCTTTTAAAACAGCAGCACGTACTAATTGTCTCTGTTTTTTATTTTTCTTTAATTCTTTTTTACGTGCTTCTTTACCTATAATAAATTCGTAAGTAATAAATTATAACTTAGTAATTTATAATTTTAAAGAATAAATTTTTAGGTTATGTTATTTACTAACGTGCTTGATCAGTGGGATTCATATATTTCCCACTTTTTGTGGTGTTTATTGAACGACGACCCATATTTTATTATTTAATAAAATTACTTAAAACGTAAATTTATATTGTGTTTTCACAATTTTTATATTAAATAAATTATTATTTACATTCATCATAACTATAGATTCACCATTAATACTGAGAATATACTATAGAGTGTACACTAAAAAAGTTCACTATAGTTTGAATTTTATTTGTCCAATATATATAAATTGATTGGAGAATAGATTAAATTGAGAACACGAATAGAAAAATAAAATTCTAATACTTAAATTCAATTTTCATTGAATATGGTATATACATAATAATTCAAAAAAATTCATAACCTGTTTCTGTTATAAACAGAAGCCGGTTCAATAATAACTTTACATAGTGAAGTAAGTATACATTTTTTGTTAATTGTGTAAATAATATTTTTTGCTTTATTAATATATAAATAAAAATCATAATTTTAATTATTATTGTTATTATTATTATTATATTATTATAAATGTTAGTCATTACATTAATATATTATAATATTATAATGATATTAATGAAGATTATAATATTAAAATATTATATTTATTAGTTTATACTTATTGAATGATATATAAAGTTCTTTATATATTAATTGATTTAATACAGATATTGTATATGTATGTATATATATATATATATGTATGAATATTTAAAATAATATAATATTAAGAAATAATTTATAATTTTATAATTATAAATGGCTTAATTTAATATTATATTATTAAATTTATATAATATTAATAACAAAATTTAATTTTAAAAACTATTTTCATAATTAAATTACAAGAAAAAACAATAAAGAATGTCACATATTATTGCACATGATATAAATAAAAAACCACGAACAAAGGATATTAAAATACAAGATGATGTTACATTTTTTCAAATGGGATTTTCTCAAAAAATTTTGGATGGATTATCTGTTTGTGGTTTCCAAAGACCTTCACCTATTCAACTAAAAGCAATTCCATTGGGAAGATGTGGTTTTGGTATAATTTTTGTATATTTTATATATAATATAATCTATATTTTAATTTTTTATAAGATTTATATTATAAATCTAAATTTTAATTATAGACTTAATAATGCGTGCTAAATCAGGCACTGGAAAAACTTTAGTATTTTGTATAATATCACTTGAAATGATTGATATAGATATATCATCTGTACAAGTATTAATATTAGCACCTACTAGAGAAATTGCTGTTCAAATTGCACAAGTTTTTTCATCTGTTGGTTGTGAAATAAAAGGTTAAAAAAATTTTTTAATTAAACTTGTTTTTTTTAATAAATAATAAATAAGAATTATGAAAAATGAAAATTTTTTTATTTCAGATTTAAAAGTTGAAGTATTTATAGGGGGACTAGCTATAGAGAATGATAAGAAAAAAGTAAACAATTGTCAGATAGCTGTTGGTGCTCCAGGGAGGATTAGACATTTAATTGATAAAGGATTTTTAAAAGTTGAAAATGTTAGATTATTTGTCCTTGATGAAGCAGACAAATTGATGGAAACAAGTTTTCAAAAAGATATTAAGTTTGTATAATAATATTTATATTGAAGTAAATCAAAAATATAAAAATATTTAAAATATAAATGATTTTCAGCTACATCTTTTCAAAATTACCATTAAGTAAACAAGTTATAGCATCAAGTGCTACTTATCCAGGAGATTTAGAAATATTTTTACAGACATACATGTGTTCTCCTGTTTTAGTGTCTCCAAACAATAATGAACCAATCCTTATTGGACTTAGACAATTTGTAACAATTGTTCCTTCTCATCCAAATGCTATGAAACAGGTGAAATCTTTATATTTTATATAATTATATAATATCAGATTATTTTATAAATTTATATGCATTAATTTAGTGTTAAACTTATTTTTTAATTTTTTTTTAAAGATAGAATTAAAAAATTATCATTAAAATAGCAAAAAATAATATAAAATAAATGATAAATATACAATTAATTTGTAGACTAATTTGATATATTAAAATAATTATATGGATATTAAATTTTAGGTTCAAATAAAAGTAGATGAATTAATAAAAATATTTAACAAAGTTCCATTTAAACAAAGTTTAGTTTTTTCAAATTATCAATCAAGGTAAATATTTTTATTTTTCTTATTTCTTTTATTTATAATCTTTTATATAATAATGTATTATGTTTTAAAAATATATAATTATTTACAGAGCTCAATCTGTATGTAACAAGATTAATTCTATAGGTTTTACAGCAACTTTTATTGCTGGAAATCAAAACATGAATAAAAGACTTGAGGCAATTAATAAATTAAAGACTTTTAAATGCAAAATAATGTTAACAACTGATTTAACTGCAAGAGGTATAGATGCAGATAATGTAAATTTAGTTGTAAATCTTGATTTACCTACAGATGCTCCAACATATTTGCATAGAATAGGAAGAGCTGGCCGTTATGGATCTTATGGTATCTCTATAACAATAATTGCAGAAAATGAAATAGAAACATTAAAACAATTACTAACTTCTGTTGGAGGACCAAATTTCTATCTATTGAAACTTCCATTAAATTATCCAAATAATATTTGGGCTACTTCCATTACAGAATTTGAAAAACTTTATGCAAAATCTAATATTAATGATGAAAATCATTTTGACATTAAACCTGTCATTAAAGCTATAAGTGATTTGTCTATAACTAGTGTTAATTCATTAAATAATGTAAAATCGGAAGTTAGTAAGACAACTGATGATGTAAATAAAGAAGTTGTAAATAGGATGCAATTTTCTAATATAGAAGAAATGGAGAATAATATAATTAAAAATGTTAATAATTTATATAATCTTTCACATTTAAAAAATATGCCTAATGTACAAAATAAAATAAAAGTTAGTTCTCTATTTGTGCCAAGTACTAATTTAATAGATGAATTTCAATATATTAAAGAAGATAAAAAAGAGAATACAACTACTGTATCGTATAATTTATCTAAACCTAAAGTTGTACATATTTTTACATTAAATTTTCCGATAAATAATTCCTCTAACTGGCAAAAACATAATGAAAATGTAATATTTGAAGTTGATTTATCAAATGTACAAGATGATATATCAGAATCTAATATTGATATGATTATTGAGCGTGTAAAATATAATTTTCAAAGCAAAAATATAGAAGAAAATATAGAAGATTCTTTATGTTTTAATTATATAAATACTGATGTGTATTCGGAAAATAGAATTTCTAATATTATTCATGATAAAATACATCAATTAGATTCAACACAAGAAATTCATCACATTGAAAATAGTAATATAACTGAATCAAATAATATTCAAGATAGAGCAAATGCTTTTATTTTAGAAGAATTAAATCTTTGTCTTTCAAACATAGAAAATTTTAATATATTTTATGATGAAGTAAATTCAAATGATGAGGAAATATTATTAAAACAAGCATTTGATTGGAAACAAAAACTTGATTTTGAAATTAAATTATTAAATAATACAATGAAATTTATAAAAGAATCAATTCAAAAATTTATATATCAAAAACATATTGAAATGATTAAAATATTTTACAAAATACAAAAACAAGCTCTCTTGTGTATTTATCCAGAAATACGTAACGATAATGAAATTAATGATACTTATTTATATTTTACAACTTCTTTAGATGAAAATATAATAGAAATGTACAAAGAAATAGAAAATTTCAAAAGTTATAATCGAAAATCTGGAGAAAAGTTTAATGCATATTTTCCATTTCCTCTTAAATTAGATTCATATATGCCGAATCTTATGATTTCTAAAACAGATATGAAATATTATCATAATGCATTACAATATTTATATTCAAATCCTTGTGTTAGAGAAAATTTATTGCAAATATCAAGTTTAGTAGCATTCATTGATGAAACTAAAAAATTTAATTTGATACAAAAATTAGAAATTTTGAAAAACTCTTCATTTGATGAATTATTGATGGTAATACAAAATGAATTGCAGAATAAAGAATCAAGTAAAAATAAATGTATAGAAGAGAAGGTCAAGTTATTAAGACATTACAATGACACAAATCAAGATGAAAATATTACTAATGTACAAGATATCTTAGATAATTCATTATTTGATACTCAAAATATAAATAATTCTACAGAAAAAGAAAATGAATGTGATGATGTGAAGTGGGACAAAATAAGTACCAATTATAATTCTGACAATTCTAATAATTCTAATAATTCTAATAATTCTAATAATTCTAATAATTCTAATAATTCAATATCAGTTGAATTAGCTTTAAATGATTTATTTAAAGTACAAAAATTTAAAAGTTCTGAAAGTTATAATTCTTGTAGCAGTGTTTCAAGTACTTTTTCTAGTGAAAATGATATTGTTAAGCAACATAGATCCAATAAAAAAATATATACAAAAAATAAATTTTATAAACGAAAGAAGATTCAGAAACAAGAAAATAGTACTAAAGACAAAGAAAAATTTTTACATAAAATAACCACATTTCATTCAAATAATATGCAATGTAACGAAGCTAATAGATTACTTGATAATAACAACATATATGAAAAACAATTTAAACCACAGATACAATTAGATTTATCATCCAATTCAATGACAGATTATTTAAATTTATCTTTAATAAAAACAAATTTATGTACAAAAAATATTAAAAATACAGATTATATATCATCTAATTGTCAAGACTCATGTATAGATACATTACAAAACTCTAGTTCTGTCCCTAAATTTTATGAATATCCAAAACATAGTTTACATAATTCTATATCTACATCTTTGATAAAAAATGTACCTCAAAGACATTCAGACAATGAAATTCCAACAATTAATATTTGTAAGATTAATCACATAGAACAAAAAAAATTAGAAAAGCCGGTAAATATACAATGTCATACTCCTTTATATAATTATATGTCTAATGTTTCCAGACATTCGTCAAATTGTATTTTTTCAGAGAATGCACTTAATTCTTATCATTTTTTAAGTAAAAATATTAATGAAATGGAAATTGATCAATTTTTATTTTCACTAAGAACGGAAACAAATCGATTGCATTTAGAACTTTATAATTCTGAAATGCTTTATAATTCAATGCAAAATCATAATTGAAGATAGTAAAATAAAATAAATAAATAATATCTTTTGGTGCTTTTTGATTTTTAGATAATAAATTCGTGATTAATCGAAAACAATTTATAAATTAAGATTATATTGTATAAAAGAAAAAAGATTAAAAACATTATATGTTAATGTAAATTATATATATAATAATATCATAATAATCTAAATAAATATTATGCAATTTATTATGCAATTTATTCAGTATTTATGTTATATTATATTAATTTAAGAGAAAAACAGATAGAAGATAAGAATGTGATAATTCTTATATAAAAATTGTTACTTATAAAAATATATTTAAAATTTTCATTTTTGAAGAACATAGTTTTTATATATATGTATTAACATATATATAACATGTATAACATATATATATTTGTATATAGTTATTATATTATTTTATAATAAAGTTTGTAAAATATATATTGTTTAAATATTTTATTTATATGTTAATTTATGCTATATTAATTTAATGTACTTTTTTATTTTGTGTAAATTTATATACATTAATCTAATATTTTTAAAATATGTAATATTTATAATCAAAGCAAATTTTATTATTCTTTATATTGAATTAAATTTAAATAAAATTTATATACTTTAATGAAATTATATATTTTTTAAAAACATCAAATATAATTATTTCTCTATTATTGATTTTAATTATATAAAAAAGTGTTAATATAATGAATATATATGTCAATATTAATTAAATAAAAATTAACTAAAATTCATAAAAAATATTTAAAAATTTTATTTATTCGAGTGTCATATACTGATTGTGAGTTAAAGGGATCAGGTTTCTAAGGCGTTTCTTTAAGGGGAACGAGAAGAAAAAAAACATCTTACGAAACTCGTCTCGTGAGAATTTGGGGTACGCGCTTGTTATGTCCGTCCTTTATTCGCAAAATAATCGTTTGAGCAGCCCGCCTAGTATACTTCAGTCGGTTACCACGTGCTTTCGCGTGAAGGAGTCTTTTAATCGCGTTCGCGGATGTCGTATGGTATTAATTATTAAACCTATCATAATTGTGTTTTATAGATTAAATTCATCTTTTGAATAGATTTAGTTTTCGGAAAGAAACATGTCATTCTCTAGAAAATATTTCAAAAGAATCCCGATTCATATAGTAGAAGATCATGATGAGGTGAGAAACAAATGATCAACGTCTTTCTAGTTTGTTTACATCGCAACTTGTTCTGTCTAAATTTCCTTATTAGTACACTAGAGGCGCTACAAGCGCTTCAACTACCAATGACGAATTGATCACGTGATCAAGAAGCGTTGAAAATTAGAATCGGATTATATTAAATTCAAATAATAATATATTTGATTTTTTAAATAAAATTGTACGTTAGGTTCTACCATTCATTTATCGATGTCTGGGATCGAAACATCTTCCGTTTGAAGGAAATGCATTTGTGCATTTAGATTCACATCCTGATATGCTTATACCGAAAACAATGTTGGCAAACACCGTATGGGATAAAAATCAATTATTTAGGTATTTAAAATTTCTTATTATTACAATTAAAATTATTGATTAATTGAAGATTAAGAAGATTATTAAGAACAATATATTTTATTCTTAAATATTAATTACGAATTGAATTAAATTAAATTAAATGTGAAATTAGTTCAACTAAAAATATAAATTACTTGCTAAATATAATTTATTTATATATTCTTTACAATTTTATTTTTGTATATTTTTTTCATTTAAAATATTATTTATTATTTATATATTATTATTATTTATTAAATTATATATTAATATACAAAAATAAATATATTTTTCAGGATAATGTTTAAATATAAAGAAAAAGTTAAATAAAATATTACTTTCTATATTAAGAAAAATCTGTAAGTAATGAAGATGAGAATATTTCAAAGTTAGTTATATTTTAAAAAAATGCTTTAATTTAATTTAATTATTTTTCGTTATATTAATATTATTTTGTAAAAAATAGATTCGTCTATCATCATTCATAAATTAATTTGCATTCTAAATTATTTTTTTATATTTAAATTTCAATCATTCTTGAAATATTAAATTACATGTCTTTGTTAATAGTGAAATTAGCATCGAAAATTGGATATTACCCGCTGCGTACGCCGGTCATTTTAAGCACTTGATCTGGGTCAAACCACCGTGGGCAAATCAGATAGCTGATGGCGTGACAAGCTTTTTCATCGGCAAACATAAGGACAATGGATCAATAAGGTAAGTTTAGATTATATTATTTTTTTTTCATTGCATGTTAAATAGAATCATATTTATAAATGTATCAAAGCTTAAATTCGTTATTTATTACTTATATTTATGTGATTACATTGTGTAAACATATATTAATTACGAATTGAATTGAGCACATAAGTGTATAATAATTATTTATTATTAATCTTATTTTATGACTAGATTCATAACAATATATATTTTTATATCATGTTTTATATAATAATCATATCTTTAAATTATTATTTTATCGTAATTATAATTAACTTGCTTTTTCGTAAGATCTTAATTGTAATTGTATAGAATTAAAAGTAAAAACTTATAGAAATTCTTAGAAATAATCAAATAACAAAGCGCGAAAATTTCTAAAAAAATTATGAACAAAAAAAGAAAGAAATCTAAAAGAAAAACAATCTTTAAATAATTTAATATGATCTATTTTCATTTTATAAAATAAGAATAATAAATAAATAAGATAAATTCGAACCATAAATTATATTTTCATAGTACCACGTTTGATATTTTTTTTATTATAATATATCACGCGAGATATGTTTATAGAATACATGAAATTAATTCGTTAAGCGTAGATTAAATTTCAGATAAAATATAGACGTTCGCCATTTTCATCGAGAATTATTTTTCACTTCACTTATTTTTCACTGACTGTGCGAGGGTTGTGTCCGTTCGTGAACCGATTAGCATATATGAACACGCTATTTCGTATATATTTAGAATAGCATAATATTACATGTGTTCTTTTCTGTATTGAGACAAACATCAGAAAATTGTCGACAGATGGTACCAATTTTGGTAACAAAGTACCAAGCGTTACATCTTACCATCATCGTTGATATTCACTTGCATGATAATTCGTATTTTTTTTAATAATAAATTCTGATTAATTAATATATTACCATAAATATTGCATGTTTAAATTGAAATATTACTATAAAAATTGCACGTATTAAATTAAATCTTTCAGCATTAAAAAATAATATTCAAAAGTTAAAAATGAGTTATTTTCATAACTTCATTTCGCAGGAAGGTAATGTATGTAAAGTATTATAAGATTTAATTATAAAATACATATATCTAAATCAATAACTGTCAACTTCTACGTAATATATTTTGATTTAAATCTTAATCATTGATCATCTACGAATATTAACTTAGGAGATTTTGTGTTTAAAGTATGATTCATAAACTTAAATGATTATTCAGTAAATCGACTCAAAATTATTTTGAATTTTTCAAATCGCAAGACTATCTCGTAGGCTTAAGCTTTGTAAATTGTTAATCTTTAAGACTTATTCTTTATCACCTCGCACGATTATCGATAAAAAATTTGTAAATAAGCATCAATGGATCTTCTCTCAGATATAAGATATTTTAACATGATAAATCCAATACTACTATATATCCATTTTAAAATAATACACATAAGAATGCTTATTTACTTTTTAATTTCTAAATAATTAACTATAATTTTTTAATATTAATAATATTATAATATACGATTCGAATTTTGTAAAATACTTCGAATCAATTCTGATGAATACCGCGAACATGTTGGATATCGATTTACGCGGATACAGAGGAAGGTGGGGTACATACATCGCGATGAAAAGTCATCACAGTCGGTTAATCTACCGCAGAAGGGGTAGAAGTTGGTTGACAAGGCGGGTGGGAAGGGATAAAAGGAAAAAGAAAAAGGTAAAGTAGCAAAGGGAAGCCGACACTGTGCACCGCGGCGATATCTGCCAAGAAACTGGTGGCCGTGATGTAGCGTTCCACCGGGACTTGAGTTATGTTTCTCGAATTACCGTGGATATATGTCCGTGTACCATGAGTGAAGCATGCGAATTATGCCGTTGTCGAGACCTCTCCATGCGCTCTCTCTCCGTGCACTTTCGTTGATTCCTTATCCGATGGATACTTTGATTACATCGATTTCCGCGATTATTTGGAATCTTAGCTATCCTAGCTGGATTGGAAAAGATTCGTTCACGAACAAATTCGATAATTTCAAATATTCGTCAGAATATGGTTGGCTAATTCTAAGAGAATCAGATATATTAAATTGAAAATTGAAAATTTAGAAATTGGAGTGAATTTACTCCGAATGATAAATATCTGATTAAATTTTTATTATCGAAGGAATTTTAGTTATTTTTTTTTATTTTATTCTTTTTCTATGACAATACCAAGTATCTATAATCCTTTCTATAAAAATTATTTTATATAGAGTTATTATTATTATTTCTTGGATTACATAATTTATTATAATAATAATAAAATATAAAACTTGGATAAAAATAAGTAAAAAATTTCGTCGTTGATTACCTTAAACGCGTAAAAGCGTCTGATGGCATCTTGGATCATTAACTATACGTGTAGCCATTAAAGTGAATTACGACAACAATTTGCTCAAGTTACTAATAATTGCCTCTCTTCGTATGATAGGGATATCGTGGGTAGAATATTCTCTTGATAAAATCTAAAATACGATGCCAATGATTGCTTTTCGTCGAAGTTATACATATGTAATCACGTGTACCCACGCGCAGGTGCTGATCGAGAGTGGATCGATCGATTTGCATCGTTGATACACAGTTACTCGTTACTCCTAGCTTTTTGTATATTTTGTACGAATTAACACGATTAAATTATGCACGACGATTTCCCTTTGCCGTGATTACGCGGTTAAACGAAAATTTTTTTTAATCTTCGACTTGGACGGAGGAATTACGTTCGGTATCATTTCCCTTTTAGAGTTTTTAAATGAATTCCAATGAAAACGCTCGAGCTCGGATTTGGAATCAAATATTTTTTGCGTCTGACTAATTACTGGAATTACTGGAATTTACAATTTAATGAATTTGAGATCGTAGATTTCTAGGTAAATGCTTCCTTTCGTGTTTGGTCCAAGTATTTGTTTCATCGATGATTGCGTAATTCTCGCGCATTGTTGCGAATAAAATTGTTGCAAATGAAATTGAAAACACGTGAAACAAAGATCCTTACGTGTAATAACACATACGATCCGAGCAATATATTCATAATAATTAAATTAATATATTACAATAATTAAATTCTTTCATTTTCACGGTGGAAAAAGTTCGTTCCTTCCACGTGTTTTCGTTTTCTGTTCGCCTTGATTCGCCGTTGACTCTCTTTTTTTTCTTCTTTTTTCTCTCTTTGTCGTCAAGAAAAGAGCTCAAGAAGCTCGTGGTCGTGGGGAGGCCGCGACAATGGACAATGGCGCAATAATCTACAATAGAGATCCGCTTGGAGATTCCGTGTCGAATGAATAGGGCCCCTAGGACAATCATCTCGTAAACTCGGTTTCTTTGCACGCCCCTCCCCTAACCTCCCCGCGTTCGTGTTCCGTATTTCACCGTTTCGTGGTTCTTACGCACGCAGAAGAATCCGAATCACCTACTTATGCGAGAATCTAAGATTTCTAACTAAACATAGTATCCGCGGCGCAACGTGACCTAGGATACTTTGTAACCGGTCGCTGGAATCGTATACTTCCGAATCGTATTCAAAGAACCGAGTTCCTCTTCTTCTTCACCGAGATGGGTAAAAACTGTTCAACGCCCCACTCGACAAATTAGTCGCGATTTGCAAAGCAACGTTAAAGGAAGAAACGTTTTTTTTCTCTTCTTTCGAAAACTTTCAATAGCCGTTCAAAGTAAGGCTATTACGCGTAATCGTTTTCCTCGCGCTCGCGAGATTTTTCCCTCGGACAAATTATCGGCTATCTAACCACTAGAGAGAGAGAGAGAGAGAGAGAGAGAGAGAGAGAGAGAGAGAGAGAGA